GAGGTAAAAAAAAAAAAAAAAGAGAGAGAGAGCATCTCGTCGCGTGGCTGGGCCACGGCTTGGATGCCTCGGCCACGGCCGAGATTTAAAAAAAAAAAAAAAACTCGGCCTCGTGACTTTTGTGCATGTCAAGAGTTTTGACTGCAGTTGAAACTTGGGACCGTACTGGACTCCAAAAAGGCAGTTCGAAATGCATTTACAAACTGCTTTCGTGACTGCGCCCTAGTTACCCCAAAAGAAAAAAAAAAAGCAGAAGCTGGCCGGGCAGTGTGCTGAAAGAGTGGCAGAATATGGGCCTCGATGCACTACTCTAGACTCTCGAATTTTCGAGAGTGGGTCGTCGCTGCACTTACTCTCAATCGGGAAACCCTCGAAACCCGATCGAGAGCTGTCAGAAGGCACGCTACATTGCCACTCTCCAAACGTCAAGAGTCGCCCGCCTGCAAAACACGAATTCACAAGTGTCCTCGGGAGTTGCCCGCCGACCGGCTTTTTTTTTCGAGAGTGGACCTCCTGTCCGGGCGGCCAGACCAGCCTGGCGTTGTCCCGTAGCATAGCGGTACATGTCTTCTGTCGAGTCGGACAACGCCCTGGGTTTCGATAGTGCAACTAATGTAACTGGTTCTACAGTAAGTGCAGCGACGGCTGGTATTTTGAGAGTCTCTCCTATCTGACAACGCTAGTTGAACTCTCAAAATATTTCGAGAGTCTAGAGTAGTGCAGCGAGGCCCTATGTCCATCTTTTTTGGCAGTTTCGAACTTCCGTTCGCGATCTTTTTTTTTTCAATTTTTTTTTTCCTATCGTTTCGCAGGGGCCATCCTAGACCACTGGATCCCCCGATTGGGATTGGGCAGAGTCTGCTGATGTTCGTATGGGAGGGGACCTGAGGGGAGGCACAGGGATTGGTCCTGTTGGCAGGTCCCTGATGCTACGGGCAGTCCCCTGGCTGGTATCGCCCACCGGCAGGCTGGGAGCAGCCCCGCATGTTCTCTCGTGGACACGGTCCTGGCTGCTACGGGTTCCCGTATGACTATAATTAGGAGTAGTGATAGGTAGGTAGTATGAGGTGATTTTTTTTTTTTCCCCAGAACCGCTTGGTTCTGGCTCCTGCCATTCTGGGGACCAACAGTCCGGTTCCTTTTCCCCCGGCAAGTCAATAAGAGATACATAAGAGACTCACGCACGCTCCCCCCCATTATGGCTGGGGGGCCCGAGTGGGCGACATCGATTACTTCCCCGAGGAAGGATGTATCACCCCTCACTCGTGCCTAAGTTAGCCTGCACTACCTGTTTTGGCTGGAAAACGAGTCCATATCAGGTTATCATGGGGAGGGTTCCTACTAAACAGGATATTTAGGGAAGGGAGGGACCTCTTCACCCTGAAAACGGCGCCAGATACCAGCGGTTACATACTAGTTCCTCTCTCCCCCCATCATTCCCTCCTCTTGGTTCCAGATGGCTAGTCAGCGGCTTGTCTGAGCCTTTGTGGGAGGTGCCTGTTTAGCCTCTCTGCGGACCTCACATTTACATACGTCTTCTCCTTACTCAGGCCGAATCCTTAAATCTAAAACCTGAGATCTTGCAGTGCCTGTCCTTCTTTCATCCAACTCTCCCATACCATTCTAAATCTACTAGATAGTCGGAAGGATGGGGGAAGAGCTCGGGGAGTTGGCTGGGTTTCATTGGGATAGCTGTGTCCATCTTTGTCCACTCATGGAATAGAAGTCGGTAGTCCCTTACTGATCCCCCCCCTGTTACCTGTTGTCCTATCCATTCAACTTCCCCTATCCTTCCCCCTTTGTCCCCTCCCAGCCAGTTCGAGCTGAATTGCTGAATTCTCTGTTGGATCTCATGTCGTGAGTGCAGTGTCTGTATCTGAGCTTTGATTACTTCCCATTTTGTTGTGATTTCTGTTTGGATCTGTTGTTGAATGCTATCTGTGAATTCTGGACCTTCCAGTCTTGCTCGTTCCATTTCGTAAGTACAGCGTCGTCGCAAAAGAGCCCAAAGTACCACCCTTTTTTTTTTTTTTAATAACAAAACAACCCCCGCCAGTGATAGTGGTGCTGGTAAGAGAATACACCACTAGCACCTGGGGAGCAGCTCCATCTATTACTGCCCTGCGTCCTATTCTGAAAAGGTTGTGCGAGAAAGTGTCTAGTTGGGGTGGATGCCAAGATTCGCAGAGGATAGCTCTCCAGTCCCATGGCCATGGGCAACTGGTACCGAGTTGATTCCATATTCGGTCCCACCACCTCCATAGTCAGACCGCCCCGGGCATTGAAGGAAGATATGTTCAATTGTTTCCGGGAGTTTCCTGCCAGGGAAGACCGAGGTACAGAATTTGCACAAAGGTAGTGCAAGTCCTCTTTGTTCAAGGGACGATCGGTCTATAATCCAATCGTTGGTTGGTAAACAATGATGGTCTATTTGCCATTGCAGGGAGGCTACTTTGGCGGGTTTAGCCCGTATCCCTTGGAACCACTTGATTAGTCGCAGTGACTCTTTGCTGACGTTGAGCTATCTCCTCCATCTATCTTCCACCTGGTCTTTGAGGTGGGTCTTAGGCCTTAGCATTCTATAGGTGGATTTGACCGATAGATTGTGTAGGGCTCGGGTGCACTTCCTACCATTTCCTGTTGTGTTAGACCAGGTCCAATTGATGGGGTTGAAAGGGAGGTTAGCAATAGGTGTGCTCGGTTTGAAGGCCAGCCATCCATCTTTGAGTTGTACAACTCTTATCCGGAATAGCAGAATGTCCCGATCCAATTCCGTTATTTCAGGTTGGGGTTTGTGTAGTATGTTGTCCTGGCCAAGTCTGAAGAGGCTGAGTAGGGATTCCCCTTGCGGGTGTTCCCTCGTATGGCCACCCAGTCGCTCTCCTGCATGTTGGGGCCTTTTCGCAGGATCCGGACCCAGTCCAGGGGGATCATTTCGATTATTTCATCGAGTGCTTCTTTCGAGTGATGCCAGTAGCGTAGCTTAGTTCTTATCTCCTATGGGGGGAGCCAGTTTTTGGTTGTTTGGTCCCAGATGTCCCCTATTCTCATCATTCCTCTTGCTACCCATCCTCGTCATGGCGAGTCCATACAATGCGGAGATTGTCCCAGGGAATCTTTGATCCATCTGTTATTGAAGAGGGGTTGCTGGCAGACCTCCTCCCATCTTGTTGGGGAGGTTTTGTTGGAGAGGGGTAGTTTGTGCCAAATTTTCAGAAGGTTGGGCCAGAACGAGTCTCTCCTGATGTCTGCTCTCACAGCCTGTCGGTCTGATGTCTGTGGGGGAGCCGGTGGGTGGGGGGTCCCCCGCGGAATTGTCCATGACCTATTCTCCAACCACATCATTGGGTCAATGCCAGCTGGAGTGGGAGGCGCTAATCTCGCTATTTGCTCTAGCGCCAAGGCTGCCCATGGGGTCTGTGGGTTGAATATTAGTCTTTTGATCCATTGGACAGCGAGTGTTTGGGTCTGTGTCAATGGGTCGATGATTCCTAATCTTCCCTTTGATTTGGGCTGGATTATTGATTGCCATGCCACTCTGCTGATAACATTTGTGTGCTCGTGGTTACCTCTCCACAAATAAGTTGTTGCTTGTCTCTGGAGCGACCGAAGGGCTGCCTTGTCCAGTGCCCAGATTGTTGATCTGTACCAGAGTGATGCTAGGACCACGTTGTTTATCACCAGCGTCCAGCCTAGTAGGGATGTATGTTTATCTTTCGAAGTTGTTAGTTTTTCCAGTGCCGGTTGCGATATCCATTCATTGTTGGTAGTCGGTCTTCCTTCAGCTGTGAGGGAGACCTCCAAAATACAGATGGGGCCCTCCACGGGCATCCACTTCACCCGCGGGAGTTCTGGGGGTCTGACTCCCTGATGACGGATACACCATCCTAAAGTTTTGTTGCCCCGGTTAATTTTCATGTCTGATAGTGTGCAAAATTTGCTCATCATAGCT